CTTACCCCTTCCACATCTCCATCAACCCCATAAATCAAATCTTCCTTCTGACGGTGTAACAGTTTGCAGAAATACTATTTTAAACTGCTGAAGCAAGTCCCCCAGGTCAAGATGTTGCTAGGTTGCCTTTCTGAGTTTCCATTCTACTTTTGAGGCTCATTTAAAAATAAGTAAGTAGGTATGAATTTTTTGTTTAATTAAATAAATTTCATGAACCTTAAAGGTAGGCAGTGTGCATCAGAATAGAATCATATTTTAAAGATAACCACTCTCTGCTTCTTTCAGTGCCTAATGGTAGGTTAAAGTAGTCGTACTGAAAATGGAAACAGCGTAGTTTTCATAGATAGCTTAAATATGCTTATTGTAATGTTTTTCCACTAACTAACATTTAGACATACAGATTTACAGTTTGTGGAGATTTAGAATAGAATCAGGTAGGTTGGAAGAGACCTCCAGAATTCTGTTAGTCCAGCCATGTTCTGTTGAAAACAGGTTGCTCGGAAACTTGTCCAGTCCTGAGTTCCTGAAAGGATGAGACTCCACAGCCTCCTGGCCAAACCTGTGCTAGTTGACCATGATCATTATTTTTTAAATTTATTTTTAAATACTTTCCTTATCAGGTTCGAATTTCCCATGTTCCAACCTCTGTCCATTGTTTCTTATTGTTCTATTGTTCTACTGTGCACTGCTGAGATGAGTCTGTTTCTATCTTCTCTGCACTCTCCCTTACCTAGTTGAAAACAGTAGTAATCAGGTGAGAAGGAAGGGCCTTCTGGAGTACTGGGGAGCAGGAAGGAGAAGTTCATGACCAGTGCAGAGAAGGGGTGCGTATATAAAGTAATTTCCAAAAGTGACTTTGTGTGTAACGGTTAGCTGTACTGGTGAAAAAACAAGAAGTCGTTTTCAGAAAGGTATTTTAATAGAAGAAAAGACAACTGAAAATATGACAACAATCAGTAAAAACCAAGTTCTGCAAAAGTTAATGAGTTAGATACAGATGTGTGGTGGTGTTTGCTGCTGCTGCTTTTCTTCCTGCAGCCCTGTAAGACTGCTGTGATGTAGCCAAGTGTCTTTTTTTTTTTTTTTTTTTTTCTTTCTAAGGTAAATGTTCAAAGACATATACATTAAGAATAGGCAGCAATGTGATAAGCAGTAACTGAAAATCTAACACATGTGCAGAGCTAGAGAAATACAAAGCGACTATTTTACGTTTACTGAGTATGAAGTGTCAGTAAGCTAAGTAATCAACTGAAAGCAAGTGAGCCCTCAAATACAGTGTAAAGTACCCTAACTGCTCTGTCCAGCAGGTATCTGTAAAACAAAATCAGTGGGTAATTGTAAATAACTGGAATGCAAAGCAGCAGAGGTCCCTCCCTATGAATGACAGTATCCAAAAAGCATACAGAACTGCCTGCTGTCCTAAAACAGGAGTGCTTTTTTCAGTGGGGAAGGGGTTGCTTCACCTCATGGTGCATAACTGGCTCTTTTTTGTACCAACATCTTTGCCTGCCCTAGCAAAGAGCTAGAAAAAGATTGAAGGAGGAAAAAAAGGAGGTTTAATTTAGTTATTGCGAAGGTATTTGTGTAACTTGCTAAAATTACAGCTGTTGCTTGTGACATCTCTTTTCTGAACTTCCTGTGTCACATCTAATATGGGTTTTTGTCCCTTTAAGCAACTTTCCCTGGTTCCTAACAACTTGTTTTTATTCCCACAAAATTTCTTCTCCCTGACCTTGCTAAATACAGCCTTGCCTTGCTTTTATCCATTCAGAACACGGTTGCAAAATATTACTTATCTGTCTGTGTCATTGATTGAGCTTGGGGTTTGGGTCTTTTTGTTTGTTTTTTTTTTTTTTTTCCTCTTTGCACGTCTCCAGATTATAAATAAATTCCAGATATTTGTTTCAAGGGTTCTTCCCATCCTGGCGTCTATATTCATCTGCTACCCATCTGTCAGTCTGTTTTACAGAGAGGCTTATTGCTGCCAGTTTTTATCATCTACTTGCTAAATTTTCTGAAGGATCTCTCTCATTTTTTTCCCCAGGCCTGAATGAAACCCTCTTGATACACAGATTTCTTCTTTGCCTGTTTTGTGTCTCTCCTTAGTTTTTTGGTTTATAATTTTTTTAAAATGATGATTCCAGAATTATCATTAAAAAAACCCTAACAAACTACTAAGCCTACTATTGTTAGGCTCCCTGTGTGTTAGGGTTACTGTCTGTCATACTAAACCTGTGCTCTTTATGTTCCATTGCTTCAAGTCATCAATCTCACATACCAAAGTTTTTAATTTCTTAGATTGTGAAGTTTCTAGCAGTGTGGTACTTTGAGAAATGAAAGGCACCCTATATCTGTGGTGGTTTAGTTAAGTTGAATATCTAATTCAGAAGTTTGAGTAGCTATTCTTGGGTTTAGGGAGTTTGTGGGGTTTGTTTGTTTGTTTTGCTTGGTTGTTTGTTTATTTTTTCCCTAGTGATGTAGAACAGGTCAGGAAAGCTTAAATCACTTATTTTTCTGGTAGATGAGTGTGATCCTTGTAGCATTGCCTCTTGTGGTTATGGGGTCTTTTTCTAGGTGAGTGTTGCTTTTATTTTGTTGGGGTTTTATACCCTTATTTCATGTATTCTTGCAAAATAATGTTTTTTTCTTTTTTTAGTTGCCATTATTTTCCCTCAGTTTTGAATAACAGCAATAAAAATGATCGGAAGTAATTGGCTTCATAAGAAAAAGTACTAGAAGTATAATTAATATTTTAATTCATCCATACAGGTACTCCCTTCCCCTTCAGGATTTTTTTTTTTTTTTTTGTTTTTTGTTTTTTGTTTCTCACAGTGTAGTAATCCACAACCTAGAGGGTTAGGAGTTAAAAATATACTGTCTTATGTTTCATCAGCTAGTAAATACTTAAGAGTTTCCCTTTTCCTCATTTTCATTAAAAGATAATAATTTGGCCTTCTTCCAATCTTGGCAATACTTAAATGTGGTACGGAACCAAAAGAGCTTGGTGTATCACATAATCTTTTGAATGAATCTTCTTACTGTACTTCAAAGCTGTTACAATTTCTGTAGAAATTGTCTCCTTTATATCTCTAAATATTGAGAGTCAGCCCCTCGCCTGTGTCTCTTAAAAGACAACTACCTTGCCTTTTGCCCAGAACAAGCTGAAATTGGTATTTGAAAGAATGTCACGTTAGACACACTTGTATTTTTTTGTATGTTCTCCATGTTGTGTGTTAAGAAAGTATTCCTGTTGAGTATTTCTTACAGTTACATCTGTGTAGGTATACATCTACTCAAACATGGCGTAACTGTTATGTGGATGTGCAAACCTGCTCACTAGGTGGATTATGGAAAGAAGAAAGAGTCATCTATGCCTTTCATTTAGGCTTATCTTACATGATTCTTAAGTATCTTTACTGCAAATGTATCAATAAATAGATTTCCTCAAAAAGCATTTGGCAGGAAGTATGATGAAGCTTTTAAAGTAATCTTTCACCACTAAGAAATATAATGGGCAAATTTCTCTGGTCTTCTACAGAATTACTATTAGGAACTGTGGAGTTAACTTTTGTTAAGAGCTGGCTGAAGAAGTGCTTTAGGAGTTCATTGATTTTCCACTAGAGAGGGTAGAAGAATATTACTTGGTGCATGATTTTTTTCCTGTCATTTGAATTTGTAGCTGTTTATCAGCAGACTTTCCTTATTTTAAACTTGAGAGCCTCGGGTGACTGAATAAGATTTTTCTATAGATTTCCTATGTGTTCTTCCCAGCAGAAATATAGGAAGTTGTAAAATGTTAACTTTTGGACAATACACAGGGTTCCCACATCTTTAAGTTTCACCAGTAGAAGTAGTGTTTCAAAATAGGATTTGTGTATGCCACAGTGTACAGTTAGCATTTTCTTACAATTATGAGTGGTCAGTGTGTGTGTAATAACAATAGCTTGTAAATTCAGATAGGTGGTTCTAGACTCTGATAACACAAACGTTTCAAAATATTTTAGACCGCATATTGATGTACCACAACAACAGTTGAAGAATTAATAAATCTTCTTGGAGTAAAAGAAGAATAACTAAAAAGTGAGCACCCAATTCTAGGCTAAGTTTGTCAAAGCTTGTTAGGTACTACAGTTTCTCTGTTTTTTCTTAAGTGGCTTAATGTTAGGTAAAATCCATAGACTGGTTTGGGTTGGAAAGGACCTTAAGGTCATCTAGTTCCACCTACCCTGGCATGGGCAGGGACACCTTGCGCTAGATCAAAGGTCACCCATGGCTCTGTCCAGCCTGGCCTTGAGCACTGCCAGGGATGGAGCATTCACAACTTCCTTGGGCAGCCCATTCCAGTGCCTCACCACCCTCACAGTAAAGAATTTTTTCCTTATATCTAACCCGAACTTCCCCTGTTTAAGTTTGAAGCCATTGCCCCTTGTCCTATTGCTACAATCCCTGGTGAAGAGTCCCTCTATGGTATCTTTGTAGGCATAGCTGTAGTGTATAGGAAACAGAATCAGAAAGCTTTTGGCTTAGATGCCATTCAAGAAGTTCTAAAGAGGCAAGAGAGAATTATTTGAAGATTCATGATCATTGTCTGGCACTTAACCTTTGTCTACTTCAAAATATGTTACTATCACAGTTTGAAAGGATTTCTTTTTCTTTTTTTTTTTTTTTTATTTTGATTTAAAAATACACCTGAAAAGGTACACCTACTAAACTATGTATCTAGTGTCTCTCTGCTCAGAAGGCCAGAGAAGATTATAATTTTTTTGAGTTGCTGAAACCTAGCATTTATAAGTAAAACATGGGGATTTTGTGTCTTTTTTAGCACTACCATTTATTTAGGTTTTTTTGTTAAAACTTGAACCTTGTTTATTCTCCTTAAATTTTGGAAAGTATGGGTTGTTGCAGTGTATTTCATATTATAAATACTCCATTATGCTTTTAAAAAGATATGTATATGAGGGTACTTATTTAATATTATTCTGGGTTTTTTTCTTTTCCAGTTTCTCAAACAGTTAGGTATACATCCTGACTGGCAATTTGTAGATGTTTATGGTATGGAACCAGAGCTGCTTAGTATGGTGCCAAGACCTGTCTGTGCAGTGCTACTTCTCTTTCCAATAACAGAAAAGGTAAATGTTTATTTATAATCAGCTAATCACTTTTGTTGTAAATGAAATGGACATGAACAGTTCAAATCTTGTACTTTTGGTGTCATAATAGAATCAAGATGAGACTCAAACCTTATTCAAGAGACTTCTTAATTAAAAACAACAAAATGCTTCCTTCAGAACCTTCTTTTGATAATCTTGCGTGTATGTTTCCAATTTCTTTTCAAGTTGGAATGGGAAAAGCTGATACAGAAGCACAGAAAAATATGCTTCACATATTTCTATTACAGTCAATTAAAGATGATTTTTTGCTAAATATGCACTGTGAGATGGCTCAGTTCGTCTACTTTAAGCAGAAAGCTACAATAGCATGGGCAAAGTAAGAAGTAGGATGTACCTACCTATATCAAATGCAACTGTGTTTTGAGGTTTTGTGCTGTTGCACTGACCAAACTTCAATTCACTTTCAGTTCAGTCATCATTACCAATGTGACTTTTGCTTCTTGGACACATGGGGCTTATTTCTAAGACAAAAGAGAATTCTCCCCTCCCTTCTTCCTCTATGTTAGGTTTTGTAATACTTGATTTGGGTAAATCAAGTCTGTTTGTTTTATCTTGTCATATGCTTCTACAAAGAGAAGACATCTATCTTGCATATCTCCTTCAAGTATTACATAGGTTGAAATGTGTGTTTTGTATTGATATTTCAATTTATAAAACTCTTACCTGATTGTAATGAAGTCTGACGAACAGGTGAAGCTGTCCAAGCTTCTTCCTTTGTATCTGTATCTCAAAAAGACCATATGGCTTCAAAGGACAAAGCAGTTAGCTGTTAGAGCTTAACTTCTGTAACAAACCCCATTTAAATAGAGAGAAGAGTGACTTTTGCTCTTTAGCTCCTGTAAACCTTTGCATTCTCAGTTTCTCCAAAACCGCAGGCAGTCCTTTTCAGGCTTGATTTCAGCCACCTTGGTAGTTTTAAATTTAAGCAAACTCTTAACTGTCCTCACCTATCTTCAGGAAATATAATTTCTGTCACCTTTGAGGTAGTGTTTTCTGTGTGCTGTGGTTTCTGACTGTTTGAGCTACAGGTCTGAGCTCCTTCTGTGACTAACTTTTCTTTTGCCTCGCTGCCTTGCAAGCTTCCTTTCTTGGGTCATACCCTGGGACCATCATCCCATTGGAAAGAACAACCTTCCTCTTGTTCCAGGAGTTGTATCTGATTTCATCCTGAAGAAGCATATGTCAAACAGAAACAGAGAAACAGCATATGCTTTGTTGTGTTGGTCAATCAAATTTGACCACCAGCCAAATGTCTGAGATTTTCTCCAGCATGTTAATCCAGTAGAGACATAAAGGACACATGTCTCTATCATCTGTGCAGCCTGAGTGTGTGAAGGCCAAATCTTTCATGTGAAGTCCCAGTGTTCTGAAGCTTTTGTGGTTCAGTATGAACTCCACAAGACTCTAGAGTGTTCCTGTATTTCTGGAGTACTTTTCCTCTCCTCAGTCTCCCTTTTAATATGGTCTTTACATTCTGCTTTAATATATTATTTATTTTTCTTGGCTGTGTCTACATTTATGAAAATGTGCCTCAAATAATTTTGCTGCCTTTTAAACACTTTTCTGTCATGTCTTTGGTCTGTCTAGAAGTTCACTTCTTTTATGATTCTTATAAATCAATTTGCTTAAACTTGCTTTTAGGGCAAGATACTCTTCTTAGCATACAGACAGTCTTAGGGTTATTGTCCAGTTTGAAGGTCAATGACTTTCTTAGTCTGCATTGTAGATTCTATACAAAGTGACTACTGTGAGCATTGGGCATTTTGGGCATTGTCCAATGAATACACATATGATGGGATAGTTCGGGTTAGGAGGGACCTCTTGAGGTGATCTGATCTAACCCTTGCTCAAAAATGTATTTTCAATATTCTTCACACTTACATATTTATTTTTGCCATGGAGTTTATTTTGGTTGGCAGGGAGTAAATGGCAGCTATATTGTATATATTGTTTGCAGTCTCTAATCTGAACTTTGGTCCAATTTCATAGACATCAGAATTTTTTTTTCTTAATTAAGCCTGTTTAACTTGCAGTTAAGTGGTGTCAAATTAAAATGCTTTGTAAGTGCTCTTACTATTTCTTAGACCATTCAGACAGGCTGCAGGCGTGGATCATGACCCTGGAAAAATTTCTTGTTTCTGTTTGTCACAGATTGTACACAAAGTCTGAGAAAAAAATTCTCATGGGTCTTTATAGAGAGTTCCTTGATAATCTTTTGCATTCAAGTTTGCTTTTGTAATACTTCTATAAAAAGCACATCTACTGCAATATTTTTTTTTTGTCTCCAGAAGTACCTAGTAAGAGGTAAAGGAGGCAGAAAGAACAGTGTTGGCTGGAATATTTGCAGTTTTCTTTTTTTTTTTTTTTTTTGTCTCTCTGAGATGAAAATCTTTAAATAATAACAAAAACCAATCAAACAAGGAAAAAAACCCAAAACTGCCCCTCCCCCAAGAACCACAATCAACAAAAAACCCCCACAAAACCAACACACTGTTGTACAGTAGAACAGATTTTAGTCAATTCTTTACAAAACAAGTACTTCATATTGTTCAAACTAAATTCTTTCACTAAGAATATAAACATTCACTTTAATGTGGCTTTTGAAGGGCCTGTTTTGTATTCCGGGAAAAAATAAAATGTAAAAATGGAACTTGTGAGAATGCTTCATCCTGATTAAAAACCTGAAGTATTATGGTTTGCTTGATAGTACTTTGAGATCTCCGTCCTTGAAAGCTTTTTGTTGGATCGAAGATAGACAGTGGCAAGTGCTCAGATCAAAGAAATATTTTAGACATTTTTGAAATTATGTTAGATAACAGGTGTTTAAAAATGATGTTTCAAGTGTGACTAGTTTTTGGCTAGTGACAAGACACTGGTTAAGAAACAGTTAGCTGGTGCTTTGTTTAATTTATTTTTGCTTGAATAATGTAGCCAGTATTTATTTGCACTATTTGTGAAATGTCTGTAACTTTCTTTCTAGTATGAAACCTTCAGAACAGAAGAAGAAGAGAGAATAAAAGCTAAGGGGCAAGATGTCAAATCATCAGTATATTTCATGAAGCAAACCATTAACAATGCTTGTGGAACAATTGGGCTAATTCATGCTATTGCAAACAATAGAGATAAAATGAATTTTGGTAAGTTTGAGTTGGGGGTTCTTGGTTGGGTTTTTTCTTTGCTGGCTTTTCCCTGTTTTTTTCCATTACCTGTGGGGAGGCATGGAAGGAAGGAAGGAGGCATTTTGTACTCTTTTCTCTGAATATAACCATTCAAAAAGGATGATCTCTATTCAAAGAGTGTTTCTGCCTATAATTATGAAAACAGTATTTCATGCTAATCCACAAACTAAAGCACTCCACAAACATTGCAAACCACAGCTGGTAGCAGTTCCTCACACAGTCAGCCTTCAGTGTTTTAAAGATACAATGTAATTATATCTTTACCTCTTTTGTTGGATATAAGCATTCTGTAAGCTTTCAATGAAGTTGGAGTTAAAGCATGACTCATAATTATGTCTTTCTCATATTTTTTCAAGAAACCAATTCTTCACTGAAAAAGTTCCTAGAAGATTCATTATCTATGACTCCTGAAGAGAGGGCCAAATATCTAGAAACTTACGAAGTTAGTATCATGTGTTTTTACTTTTATTTAAAATGGTGTAAGAATTACTCGCATTAGCAGATACTGTCCTTAGGACTGGATCCAGTGAAGCACTTAAAAAATTTGATTTTACATTTAAGTTTCTGATCAGTTGCTACAAAGTAAACCCTGCTTTGGTAGTTTATAGTGTGCCTGCCTGCCCGCAGCTCAGTCAGCGGAATGGATTTTGTCAATGTTCCTCATCCATATTAATTCACTGGCTTAGTTTAAAATTACTTTGAAATAGATGAGAAATGTGTGCATAATCTTTTTGGAGGTTCAGGCTGCAGTTTAATCATCAATTTAAGCTGATCTGTGGCTGAAAGAATGGTCCTTCTGCTGCCTCCCCTCATTTGTACCTTCTAGTCACCTCTCTTTGGCTATAGCAATTTGGGGCACACAAAGAGCTGATCTGGCTGAAATACAATCTCTTTCTGCCACCATTCCAAACAATTAGATGAGCTAGCTGATAGTGCGGTTAGCCAGATTAGTGCTGTTTGAAAGGGTGCGGCAGAATTATCTGGTCAGTAGTGAAAGGGGAGAATGCTAATTTGCTCCTGATAGTAATGATGATCTTCTCTCAAAGTGAAAATCTTAATGATTTTTGACTCTTAGTTCCATTTAAGCTTATTGTGAAGTCCTCAGGAATACGGATGTTACCATGTGGCTGAGGGAAGTAGTAACAAACAGAAACAGCAGAGGTTCGATGACATTTTCTGTAGAAATGCTGGACACAAGATACCTGATCAGAGTTTGTCTCAAGTATTTTGAGTATTTTACCAAAAACACTTGCCTGTGGTTTTTTCTGTGTGTAAAAGTGCTATTACAAACTGTTAGGTATTTGATTTGAATTGATTGTGATGAAACTGAATTATTGGTCTTCTGAGACCCTTGGAAGTGGAGTTTGTTTATTAAATCATTTATTTATTACAAGCACTGAACAAAAATAGTTACATCTATGGCATTTGATCAAATGAAGAGCATATGGTGATTCTTAAAACACTGAAAGTCTCTCATTTAAAGTCTGATTGAAATATGTTTTAATTTTAGGCTATTCGTGTCACTCATGAATCCAGTGCCCATGAAGGTCAGACTGAGGTATTCATTTTTTTAAAGAATTCTTTGTTAATAACTACTTTGAGTTGAATATAATTGAAATGAAAATAATCTTGCATTAAAGGTTTACACTGAAATGGAGATCACTGCTTGGTTTGCAGTATTGTGTCATTAGTCAAAAATGAAGGCACAAAATCAAATGGCATAGTTGGGGGAGAAACCAAACTTGAGGCTTGTTTATATGTTTTGTTTTGATTTTTTGGTTTGGGGTTTGTGTGCTTTGGGATATTTTTTAAGATTTTACATAACATAGATGATCTTTTCAACCTTAATTTCAAACAGCCAGTAACAGTATTTTTAATGAAAGCTGAGATTTTGGTGTGGCAAATCCGTAGGTAAGACTGTAAGATCCATAGTAATCATACAAGGGAAGCAAACATTTTCTGAGGGTCTGAAGTTTTTATTAAGCAAAAGAAATAGTACAATGCTTGGTTTGCCACTGTGTGTGTGCTGTTTGTATAAAAATACTAATTCAGGTAAATTCTCACTAATACGTATCTTTATAAGCTTTTATCCCCCAACAGATTGAGGGATAAAAACCCCCAAGCCCCACAAAACAACAAAAAAGAAACCACCACCCCAGCAACAATGAAAAAACGTAGAATAAATATAAACTTAACAGTCAATATTGTTCTGCTTCAGTCATACTAAGGCAGTTTTCCATCTTTCTGGTTCAGATCATGGTATTTATTCCACAAAAAGAAAATTGATTAGATTGTTGCTTGCAGTGCTTTGTTTGACAAAGAGAGGAGCCTTCCTCTGTTTGGCTGAGACTGCAGTGGCTCATCTGCTTTCTTTTTATTTATTTTTTTTTTCTTGTAGTACAGGAGATGAGGTTTTCTTTCTTCATATGGCTTGTGCAGTGTCTTCTAAACAATGCAGGGGAAAGCAAAGCAGTCCTTTCTGTTCACTCTTGCCCCACCATCATGAAATGAAAATTGTTGTAACCATTTTGTTACAAATACTCCACTTTGTGTGATGTTTTCTTCAAAAAAACCACCACTCTTCTTAACTCTTTCTCCAAATTAATCAAAAGTTCTGCATTTCAGGAAGAAACATCAGAACAAATTCTTATTCTTCTTTCTTCTCTAAGGGAGAAACTCAAAAAGAAAATCTGGTCTGTTTCCTTTATTAATGAGTCCTTTTCTAGATATTTTTGGCAAGCTCAGTAAGAGAGAGGCTGTGAAGATTATTGCCACAAGTTGCTGAAGACTGAATCTCTTCCTAAGATCTTAGTGAAAGAGAAAAATGTTCTTTAGTTGTTTTCATATACTGTGACATTCCTCCATGGAATGGTTTGTGTATGTTTCTGTGGCAGAAATTAAGGAATGATTGGGAAAGAAAATGCAGGAACTTTGTAGTTCTCAAGAGTCTTCATAAAGATTCAGAAAGCATTAAGTGGTGATGGCATCTCCTAGTAAGGGACAGTTAACTTCTTGAACTTCCACAAATTAATTTGTTTCCTGATCAAGATAACCACAATAAAAAAGACTAATAATTGCATGGAAAGCTGAAGACTTTTTTTCCATAAAAAATTTACAAGATTGTTTTAGCAACCATGTTTAAAAACAAATATTGAATAGGTAGTTTCCCTGCCAGACATTTATTATTCCATTTGGCATAGTTGAATCTGGAAGTAATTCAACATGAATATTACTTACACTGGTAAAGTAACTTCTTCCTGTCTTTCTGTTTTCAAATTTGAAATAGTACAATGGCTGAATACATATCCTAGGACCATTTTTCAGAATAATTCTGATCCATCAACCAAGGAGAGAGAAATAAACAAGTTATCTCACTGGAACATCTAACTGCCTGAAGATCCTGTCCTACTACACTATGGTTAAATTGGCATCAAGGCCTCCCTTTTCATCTGTATAGGAGGAATTGCTTTGCTTTAAAGTACATTTCTTTGTAAGCAAAACAAAATCTGAAATGTGAATATGCTGGGAAGTGTAATTGACAGTTGGAGTGAGTTAATCTCCTAGTCTTTTTCCTTCTAATGGTACGCTTTAAATGTTGCTGTATACCTCTTCATGTAGTGGTAAAGGGACTCATGAACAGCATGCCCTTGAAGATGCTGAAGTTAGCATATGCAGGTGATACAGAGATGTTGACTTGTCCTGCAGGATAAGTTGATAATTTCTAGTACCTTTGGAGCAAGAGATAAGAGAATCCCATTCCTCCTGCGTGTCTGCTATTGCTAGGGTTACTTTGCTGAGAATTTAAACTTCCTTTCAGAGCTGGAAAGGAGCATGTTTGCCCTTCTATGACTTTGTTGGGTTTTTGTTCTCCCCCTCATCCTTGACTCCACTCCCCCCAGAACAGCCAGGGCATTTTGCATAGAAATCTTTCCTTTGAATACAGTTGTTTATGTAGTTGCTTAATAGTAGTAAGTGCTGTATCTTTGAGAGCAAAAAGTGCTTTGCAGGTCTCTTACAAACTTAAAGATTAAGAAAATGTGCAGCCTACTCATTTAGGATAATTAACTCGGCTTTTGTGCTTCCTAAGAATAGCCTGCTCTGTGGATAGTTCTGTCCCTTGGGTAGGTATTGCATAGTGCTGTCCACTTAGTCTTCTGAAAATGTTGCTTAAGCTCAACTGTGTTAGAGGAACTTCCAAAAGTGGAATGTATGGAAGTCAGCTTTGCTGATTTGGCTAAGAAACTTTGTAACTGCTTTCAAGATTTTATTCTTTCCTTCCACCATGCAAAACACATTTTCAGACCACCAAGGTAAAAGTAAAATCTTGCGTAATCTAAAAATTTAGAAGGTTTAAAAACAGCAAAGAATGCAGATAGTTCTCTTGTGATGCTTTTTTTTTTTTGTTGACTCTGTTTTCTCAGATATCTGAGGGTTAAGCCTTCAATGCTTCTAAGTAAAGCCTTTATTGGTTGATTGCTCCTGGCGGTGCTGCTAAGTCTTCTCAATTATTATTACTTTTAATCATCTCGGATGTACTTGGTTTGTATAATACACTAGTGGATTTTCTGCTTTTGTTTCTGTTCCATGTGTGTATTTCAAACCTCAAAATAAAGCAAGTTTATGAGAAATAAAAGGTTAAAAGTAATACAGTAAAGCAATGCTATCTTTCTAGTATCTCTGTATTTCATCTTTTCGTGTTGTCTGGTGTGTAGGATTTTTTTCTATTTTAGGGTAACCTGTAATCATTTTTTTTTAATTATGTTTTGAAGAAGAGGTATATTTTAAAAAAAGTATTTAGCAGGGTATTACTTATTTAACTTTAATATTAATGGATAGCTAGATTCTACATTTCAGTGATTGCTGGAAGAGAAGAGTTACAGTGATCACTTTGTTTCTGGGATTTATCATTAATATGCAATCTATTTAGATGAAGCATTTAGATGAATTGCTAAGCAAATGGATTGAAGCTGAGAGCTATGGCGTGTTCTGCCTTGATGGGTGCTTTAGCAGGCTTCGTAAGTTTGATAGCTGTTACTAATTTGCCTAGTTTCAAAAAGCAAAACAACTCACACCCCACAAAGAAAACCCAACCGCCCTTTTACGGGCCATCTATAGACTGGATTAGAACTGAGTATTTTGGGGAGGGGTTTTTTTGTATTAAAATATGTGAATTTTTTAATGAAGCTTACTGAACTTTTACGAAATTACTTAAATATTCTCTTAAAAATACAGATTTTTTTTTTTTTGTGCATTCAAAGAGTTTGAATTTTAGGAACAGTTAAGCAGTTTTAATTTTGCTAATTCATTTCAGGTTTGCTGATTAAAAGGATTGTAAATTTGGGCTTCTGCTAGAGGTGAGGTTTTGGACCAGATTTGATTCAGTTTCTATGTTAAGACTCCTAGATTCTGTGGCTCCATGGCCCACTTTTTTCACTACAGTAAAGCAAATAAATAAATATAGCAGTCCTGTGGGTACTTCTATATGTAAAAAATGTAGGTCTGTTTAAAATTACTGTGGTAGCAAGCACTAAGATCTGGGAATAATTCCACAGAAGTGTGGTGTTAGTTTCAAGGGTAGGTTGATTCTGGTCCCATATTTGAGTATCATAATGAGGGCAATTAATCCAAGACTCTTATAACAGTCTTTCTATTAAATTTTATGCTGCTGAAGCTTACACTTTCTCAAGTGACAGGTATTTCATATCCAAAGTTGCCAAATAAAGGATCTAGGGCTTTACAACAAAGCTTCGTGGATCCAACTTGCTCTCCTTACTGTGTGATGATAGCTCCTGAAAGGCAGCTATTGCTGAGACTAGAATAGTTGTCAGCTACTCAAGATCCTCTTTATTTCATAGCATTGACCAGGGTTAGGTTCGTAGTTTGTTTTGTTTTGTTTTATTTCTTGGGTTGCTTTCTATCAGAACAGTCAAAGTAACTGTTTTCAAGTAACAGATCAGAAAATCTGAGGGTAGAGTTTTCAGTGAAAACAGGAAAACATGTCATTATGTGAGAGACTTCCAGGCCTAGAGTCTTTTGCAAAGCAAAAGTATTGGAGTTGGGGAGGAAACTTATTTTGCATCCTGCCTAGCAATTTTCGTTACTTATAAAAAGTTACTGTATTGTTTCTTGAGAGAGCTGGAAAGGAGGAAAATGCAAAGGCACAGTTGTTACAGAAGTAAACCAGAAATAGGTAGAAATTGTTTAGCTTTGTTAGCTTGAGGGAAGTTATTCCAGTTAGAAAATATTATCTGTACTGATTCTTGAAATAAATGACCTTTTTAGAATGTGAATATAATAATGTGAGTAGCAAGATTTTTGTTCTGTTCTCATATTACTGACATCCACATTCACTACTTTGCAACTGTTACAGCTCAATTCTACAGTAAGGAAAATGGCAAGCTATACCATATTAGTCTTTTAGAAAGTACTTCATCGGCCTTTAGTCAAGTAATTAGATCGGGAGAATAATCCGTATTTAATTTCTGCATTTCTAATTGCTTTGACATGCTTAAGTCATGCTCAAGTACTATCCTGATAATAGTATCTGAAGTTTTAGCC